CTAGGTCGGATTCCTACGTATGGTTGAGTTATTTCAAAGTGGGTTCTAGGCAGGGTTGCCAGAGTGTCTGAAAAGTCAGGACAGTGTATGAAATTGGGACGCCTTTCTGATTTCCTTCTGATAGTCTGATTTTTTCTTTTTTCGATAATTTTTCCTGCTTTTCTTCTGAATTCTGAACTTTTCTAAATCATATCATCACTTTTTAACGAAATTCAATCTAATCATTACCCATTACTATAATAGATTAATATTGCACCATCTTTTCTCTCTGTTGATGATTGGCAGTGTCGAAGTTATACAATCATCTCACGAATGGGAAATGATACTTATAATTAATTCTTATTTTCGCTTTTACTTATAGCCTTATTGTGGATTACACAAATAAACAATAGACTTTCTGGTGTATTGTGCTCTTAGCATAATACCAAATGGTTTGTAAAAACTACCTTTCTAATTAGTTTTTGATTCTTCAAATTTTCATCTAGCAACCCTGGTTATAGGCACTCGTTGGGATACTTAGGAATGAGTCCCAGGCATCCTTGTGGTACTGAAAACTGAATTCCAGGTACCATTTGAGGTGAAGACTACGAACTATGTAGGTTTCTGACTATATCAAGTGAATTATTACTATAAGATTCTATATCATAGTATCAGATCTTGTTGTAGAATCATTCAAGAGCCGTATCATACGAATCGATATCAGATCCCAAGAACTACGCTTCTTTATATGGTCCCACATGAACACATATGAGCTGAGCGGACAATTCGTTGCAATGATATAATCCAATTGTAACCAATCATTATTTTTTCATAAATTAGTTGAGATAGTAAAATAAATTAGAAACACATAATTCAAAAAGTATCACAATTTTAAAGATTATTTTTGATGACTTAACTTTTATTTTTTATCCTGAGCAGGAAAATAATCGTCTGACATACAAAAAAGTAAGATTCCCTAAACTATATCAGTGTCAAGTGTTTTTGTAGAAGCAGAGATTTTGCTGCATCTCTCTTTCACTTCCTATTGTAGCCCAGAATGTACAATACATGGAAGAATAATTTCAGAATATAAGTGAACTCTAGTGTAAAGTAAGAATGATTGACCTTAGGATAGCCAAAAAAACTTTTGATCACATCTTTTTATTAAGTGTTTCTATTTAACGTACGAATTTTGTTAGTTTAAGATCTAAGAATTGTTTAAAACTATATTGATTTGAATTTATTGGTGATTTATACGGTGCTAACACCAGTTTTGATGGTTTCTGATGTTTCAGGTTGTTCCATCTCATCAATGTTAATCGAGCTGAAGAAAAAAATCTGTTTTTTTTTTATCAAACTAGTACTTCTTGTGAAAGTACAAACCCAAATAAAAATGAAAACTCAGTTAGTAAAAATAGTCTGTAAAAGTTTCATACATATTGAATTATGGATTTCTAACTTATCTTACTATGTCAACTAATTTATAAAAAAATAATGATAAGTTATAAATGGATTATATCATTACGAAGAATGGTCCATATATGATTCTGACATTAGATCAGATATAGTCTTGTATGAATCCATGGTTGATCTTCCTATCCGATTGCTAGATACATATCTACTACTACACAATCTTGTAATAGAGAAAACAAGTTTTAGATAGAACTTGATTGGTTGTGGACTTATATCAATTGTAAAGTAAGAAAATTTACTTGTGATAGATCGGAATCTCTCTTGACCAGCTGCATCCCACTAAATAAAACGTAGAGTCATTGCAATGGTTATACTAAATAAAAAAAAATAAATTTACAATAGAAATTTTAGCTGTCTGTCCATGCCATTGTATTGTACGAACTGCCTAAAATAGTTTTGAAATGATATTTTAATATGATTATATTATTAACAAAAAATAGCTTACGAAATCGATGCCAATGGTAGGTATAAAACTTTCATTGAAAGAATTATTCTAAAAGAAAGAACGATAGTTTTTGATAAAGAACTATTCAAAAATATTTACAGTAAAGCGTAATATTAACGATGACTTTCCAACACCGGAATCTCCAATGAGAAGTAGGTTTATCAAATACATGCTAAAACATTTTTCGTTGTTCTGTATGAACACAGTTTTATAATAAACGCCTTACAGTTCACATTTCGTCGTTATAGTACTTTGGAGTGACGGAATTTCCAATTGATGACTCTTAGATAATGCAAAACGTGACATAATATCAGTAGCTAGAATATTGAATGACTGTTCGATATTAGTCGAGTTCTTTGATGATGTTTCTACATATGGAGCATTTAATGAGTTAGCCAATTTCTAAGAAAAGAAAGACGATAAATTATTGATTTAATTTGAATGGATCTTACATACCTGAGCTGTTTCTCGATCAACTATTCTTGTCGTTGTTAAATCATATTTGTTACCAACTAACAATTTCTTTACATTTTTATCTGCATTTTGATCGATCAGCTGGAACCACATTTCGATATTCTCGAACGATTCCTTAGAAATAACGGTTCAATATCAGGGAAGCGAAAGAAGAGAATCTTTCAAATAACATACTGCTTTTGTAAGATCAAAAAGTACGATGAAACCGTCAACACCTTTATAGAAACTACCTAGAAACGAAAGTCGAACGTTAAAAGATATCAATCAAACATAAGTGTTAAACTTTCTAGTTCAAATCAATTTAAGTTTGATACTACTAGAAAAATTCTTTACTTGTAATAATTCGAAATCTCTGATGACCAGCTGTATCCCACTAAATAAACCATAAAATGAATCAACAATTACGCAGATCAAAAATTATGTTTACAAGTTGAAGTTTAACTATTTTTCCATCAATCTCAACTTTGCGAATTTTCTACATCAGTATCACAAAATAATTCACAAAAATACATTATTAAATAGAAAACTTACGAAATCAACACCAATAGTTGCTATGTAACTTTCATCGAAGGTATTGTCCTAGATAAAATATCGTAGATTTTGAAAAAAATGTATTGAAAAAATGTATACAGCATAACGTGACAAGAACGATGACTTGCCAACGCCGGAATCGCCAATGATTAATAATTTAAATAAATAATCACTAAAACATGTCGTTGCCGTCTACGAACAAGATTATCATCAATAGCTTACTAATCAGATTTAGTCGTTGAACTTTCAATTGGTTTCGCTTCTACTTGATCATTGGTAACGGACAAATTTGCTTCTATTGGTGCGAGAATTGATATAATTCCACTAGTTAGAGTCTGAAATACTTGTTCGACATTAGTCGAGTTCTTCGCAGAGGTTTCTATATATGAAATATTTAATGAATCAGCCAATTTCTAAGAAGTAAAATAAAACAATGCTTTTGAATTAATCGATAGATTTTTCCATACTTTAGCTGTTTCATAACCAACAAGTCTATCATACGTTAAATCACACTTGTTTGCGACTAATAACACATTGAGAGCATCTACAGCCTGTCGATCAATTTCTTCAATCCATTCATTGATATTTTCAAAGGATTTCTTCAAAATAGTAATGTATTATCAAATGAGAAGAATACGATTCGCATGACATACTTCGTTTGTAACATCAAAAGCTAAAATGATACCATGGGCATCTCGATAGTAACCACCTAAAAAGAAAAACAGATTAATGTTTTCGAATTTTTAGTAAACGATAATAAAAAATCTGTTTCTATTGTTGAATCAAAAATAGTCATCTGATTAGTATCAGAAAGAAACCAATCAGCAGCTATCCGCTTAGAGGAAAGGTTTGATTATCGAATGATAAAGAATATAGTTTCTATGATCGAAAGAATACTTTCAATAGATTATCAAACACATTGAATGTTATGAGATGTATTTTATACGAATGATAGAAATTCCTTTTTCTTCCATTTTACGTGTAAAAGAGAGATTAATTCAGTAATTTTACGCTTAGTTCAATTTCATTTTTTGTTTAAAAGATAGACCACAGTTCTAATATGATTCCTGTTGTAAGAGTAAAATCTCATTGCTTCAATGATAAAAATCTCTTAGTACTGATGACGAATTAGCGAGAAGTTCGTTTTTTATTATGACCGTTTAAAATTTCTTGTTCCTACACCCTTTTCTATTAGAATGCCGAAAAAAGGTGAAATTCCGTAACGGATACTATTCGATACAAACACTCATGTAAACAAATGACCCAATGGTTCGAAAACTTATTCAAAGCCGAATAATTTTTGCTCAGCACGTTTACTTCTTTCTTGTTGAGATTTGTAGTAAAGCGTTAAACTCTTATTACACCCTAAAAAAGACTTCCGTAACAATCAATAGTTTTTTAAATAAAAAGAAAAGTCAGTGACATTTATAATAATAATAGTTCTAAATACTCTACGTATGAAAAAAAAATTTAGAGAGTCTATGTTATTTATTAAGGAGATACACTTGTTGCAGTGTAAAAAAATGAAATTCTGTAAGGCTGATTATGCCCATTAACTAACCGTTCATAATTCTTTATTTCAAATTAATAAATCTTAAAAAAGTAATTTCTATTTCCACTATAGTCAATTTTACAAAAACCAATGCGTGTGCATTATACGACTGAAAAGTAAAAAAAGAATTACTTGCAATACGTGGATGCTTTTCTTGGCCAGCTGTATCCCACTAAAACACAGGTATTAATTTAAGAATTATGCTGATGAAATATATTTACTATTTCCAATTTAACTTTTTTTCCATCAACTTCTATTGTGCGAAATTTCTACATGTGTTTTAACTAATAATTCATATGATTATATTGCCAAAAATAGACTTACAAAATCGATATCAAGAGTTGATACAGCAGTTTCATTGAAGGTGTCATCCTAAATGAAATAGTAATAAATTTTGGTAAAAATAGACTGAAAAAACATTTACAGCAAAACGTAATAACAATGATGACTTGCCGACACCAAAATCTCCAACGATTAGTAATTTAAATAAATAATCACTAAAATATGCCGCTATTGTTCACAAGCAAGATTATCATCGATGACTTACTATTCAGTTTCAGTCGTTGTCGTACATTCTATTGGTTTGATTTGTAATTGATAATTTAAACAGGATGCTTCTACTTCAGGAATCGACATAAGCTCAGTACCTATAATCTTGAATGCTTGTTCAACATTAATTGATCTTTTAGCCGATGTTTCTACATATGGAATATTTAATGAATCAGCTAATTTCTAAGAAACAAACAGTGATCATTTATTGAATTTATTTATAGTCTCGACATACTTCAGCCGCTGCATAACCAACAACTCTATCATACGTCAAATCACATTTGTTACCAATTAATAACTTCTTCACATTTTTATTCGAATATTGATCGATTGCTTGTAGCCACATCTTCACATTATCAAAGGATTCCTAAAACATAATGGTTTCAAGCCAGTTTAAATAGATAAAAAGAATCTTTCAAATCACATACAGCTTTCGTAACATCAAAAACCATAATGACGCCATGTGCACCTCGACAGTAAGAATCTGAAAATATAAATCAAATCTAATCTCGTCAATACAATTGAAAATTGTTTCTGTTGAAGCACATGCGAATTTTGGATCATAAAACAAAATTTGAAAACGTAGAAAATGAGTCTCAGCAATTCAGTATTTAATATATTACTTAAGATAGCACGATATTGTTCTTGACCAGATGTATCCCACTAAAACATTTAAGCATAGTTCTTTAACATTACAATGAAAAGCTTAACGATTTACAATATGTAATCTGAGGATTTTTTCATCAATTACAATGGATTTAATCATCTAAAAATGATAAATAGATATTATATTAGGAAAAAATTAATCACTTACGAATTCAACACCAATAGTTGGCTTGAAATTCTCATTGAATGTATCATTCTGCAGAATATAGCAATAAGTTTTAGTAAACGAATGTAAAAATAAGTGACCTTGAGACGTGTCAAAAGACACGTTTTACCAACACCTGAGTCACCGATGAGTAATACATTGAAGATTCGATCGCTAAACCAAATATGTGCATGTAAGAAATATCTTGAATGAGAAAAAAAAACAACTTACATTTCAGCAGTCGTCATTCGAAACGTACTGATTTTCTATTTGATCTATTAAACACTTCAAACAAAATTATTTATTCAATCTTGAAATGCAACAAATCTTTGAAAATATAGTATAACGACTAATTCTCGGATCCTTTTTTTTTGCCGATCGATGTGAGCAACGCAGTTATATGCAAACGTACACGTGTAATGAATGAAACATTTTTCTCCATTCTACTTTTATTCGTCAACACACACAGTCATGACAAAACGTAGAAGAACGCAAAAGAAAAGAAATAGAATATCTTTCATATCACCATTTAACTAGTGAATTTGAAGGTTTGTCTTTATATACCAACTTCAAATAACTAAATTATAAGGAATAAGAAAAAGAAAACTAAGAGTAATGTTTTGATTCTACAAATTCTAGTAGAGAAGAAAAGAAATAGAAATATGTGAAGTAGGGATCTGCCGTTTCGTAAAAACTGCACCCATACATCGAACTAGAACCCTTTTTATAAATTTCAAAATCATAACCGGAGCCGGTAGCTATTTTTTCATATTATTTTTCTATTGAATATGATAGGTTAGTGAATATAGCTCCCGATAACTCTCCTCTACTTGAAGTGTAGAACTCACATATATATGTTAAAATCTTACCTAATAGTAAAACGTAAAGCCAATAGAATTATGTAGATTGGATGCTTTGGCGAATGCATGGCTGGTAAAACGAGATTGTGTTTCTTCTTTAATGAAAATCTCCAAGTTTTCTTTTCCATTGGATGCACTTGACTTCATAGAATTGTTACTGTTCATTAGACGGAAAAGCTTCTTTTTATTTTGCTTCTATTTAACAATTTTCATTAAATCTGTTGTGCTGGTAATACGAAGGATTTGTAACGGAAGGTTGGCGAATGCTACGTAACTATTTTACGTGACAATCATTAAAATGAAGTACATCAAACTACAGAAAGATTTTCTTTCATTAAAAAAGAATTTAAAACAATTGTGTTTCTTTTAGTATTCAACAAAATCATAATGCATTTCAATTGTAAATAAAGAAGAAATAGTAACATTAAAATTATCCCAATACTTTTTGTTTTAATCATTTCTGATTCTTAAAATTCGAGTAACAAAATATTTGAGATCATTTCTTGAAATATTTTCTGGAAAACAATGGTTTTTCAGAGACTTGTATTCTCTCATATGACGATCTCAATCCAGAGTTTATTCAATTTTGTACTAATTTTCTTTTGAAATAGGCAAAACTACTACTCAGCTGAAAAAATAAGCTTTTCCTAAAACCTCATTACCTTTCTTTCGATAATTTATGAAGACATTCAACAATACTGCAATTAATATCTAATGCTTTTATGTCTGACTTTCAGGATTAAGCTAAGCGAGACTCATGGAGTCGAAATGTTACCTATAGTTAGAGATATTGTGGTAAACTATCGACGTTTGGCTTTTCAAGAATTATTAATAGTATGGAAAATTGAATATATATCCTAAGTAAATAGATTTCTCGTAAAAAGATTACATAGATTATGCCTAATCATCAAAATAAATAATAGTACACGATGAAGGATCCAATACATGGGCAAAATAGGACATTTTTCGTGTTTTTTGAAACCCAAAGCAGACTTGCAAAAGTACAATAGAGTATTGATCTGTGATCTCTAGTTTATGATACCGATGTTCATCTTTCGTGTGCGGCGTTCCAGACAGTAGAACAATCTTTATTTTTTACGCGCACCGTTACATCATGGAATTCATTATCTATTTCTATGGTGAGAAAACAGATTCGCTTTTACAAAAATTGAAAGCGTGAAAATTTTTTTATATCCATAGGGATCAAAAAATCTTTCAATATTGTTTGTAACAATTCACAAGTAAAAGAAACAGTTCGCTTTTTTTTAAAGATAATTTAATTTAAAAATCTTCTATTTTTTCACTCACGTCACTAACGAAATTTTACATTAAGTTTTTTTCTCTCCTAAAATATTTGTCTGTGAAGTTTTAAACTTTCTATGTAAAACAGTTACATGCGCCAATTAAGTACACCATCTGTTTCTGTTTTCTCTATTCCGTCTATTGAAAATATATCATTGGTCGAATTGAGTCACGTCGCTAACGATCTTTTACGATAATTACAACTTTACAAATAATCACGTGAAATTCTGCTTTCTAACCGTTTCATATTAATTTTGTACTTCATCATTAACAATATATACGTGTTATTTAACTCTAATTTTTTACCTTTGCGTCCTATTTCACTGTGTTAAGAAAACTTGAACTCAAATAAAAGCAAAATATATAGTAAAATATTTATAAACAACGAAATACTCGGCAAAATATAGGAACTTTCTTTTCTATTTCTAATCTGGCCTTTTAACCAGAGATAGATTAGAATGCACTTGATTCAAACTCATAACCAGCAAATTTAGTATCAAATTTTTTTCAACTGTTTTTGGATCGGTGTAAAACTTAATATAAGTAGCGCATAGACCAAAAACGATATTTTGGTGAAAAAGTGTATAGCACGTTAGAATAATTTATTATATATCGATCAACTCATTGTTTCCTTTCTAATAACATTAACAATATACTAGGTTTTTGTTGAAGACAAATTGCTGCGAAATCTTTTACTCATATTCAGACTTCTTGGAAACATATGCCACAAAAGTTTAAGTTTTTCAAAGATTTTTCGAAGAAGCATGCGTTGATAAAAGAAAATTGACAGCTTTCATGGTAAACCAGTGAAAGATCCCATAGGCAATGCGTTCTATTCGTAATCTGTCACGTCGCTGACGCCAAATAAACTAAATTTATTTAAAAATCTCCACATATACAGGAAAACATTGGATAGATATTTTTTAGCTATAAGAATTATCTGCAACATGTATTATCTCATTTCAATTCGCAAATTTTTCAAAGAAATTCAAAGCAATGCGCACAATAGGAAAAACACTAAATTAATATGTGAAACATAAGGAAAGATAAATTGAAAAATATTTAGCATTTTATTAGAAATATAATAAAATTTGTTGATATCTGTTTTGTATACTTCTCATAAAGATCTAATGAGAGGGCAATATTTTTTGAAGTGTTGTTGGATTGAGATTTGGATTTGCCCTTTCGAAGGAGATCTAAGCATCAAATCGAGTCGGAAATATGTTCATTCGATAGCGCTCGACGACCTCTATCTTGATATACCATCTTCTCGTTTTGGTATAATATATAGAAGAATCCAGTTGCGATATACCGCGAAAATCCGAAGTCAGACCAAGATTTGTCATTTCGAAGGGGATCCAAGAATCAAACCGAACTGGAAAGGTGCCAATTCGATAGAGCTGATCGAGATCTACCTTGGCATACTAATTATTTTCATGTTTTGGTATAATTTGTAGGCGAATCGCGGTGCACTATACGGAAAATGCTTGTTTTTTTGCTTATTTTTTGTCTATATTTTGAGTTTTTTTTCGACCAAGCGGAGAGGTCTTGAAAAAAAGTAAATAGTGGAATCGATAGATCTCGACGAGATCTATTTTGATAAACCCTTTTCACCGTTTGGTATAACCTATAGACGAATCCAGCTCCAAGATATCCTACGTAAGATAGATAGATCAATCTGTTTTTCAAATTCTATTTGATTTTGGTCTCGGATGCAGAACGCCATAGTATTGACAAAATAAATTAAAGAAAGTTTTTTTTTGTTCTTCTTTTATGGAATCACTGAATTCATATAGAAAAAATAAATAAATAGAAATGTTAAGCACATCTTTTATTTTTATTAGCATTATCCATATTTTTACATGCATATACAGCAATTGTTTGTCCTGGTTTACTTTCTGGTTCAACTGTTATTAAACCTTCATCATAAACAATAATATTACATTTTGCACAAGCGACAACTGCTTGACCAACACCTTCTTCTTTTCTACTATCAGTATCACAATCCATCCAATATAATGCATCATCAGTTGTACCTGTATAACAATCACTATTCTCAGAATCACAACATTGTTTTGAATCACGAGGTACTTTTTTTGAAAAACATTTATTAATTAAACCAAATAGTTGACCACAACTCTTTCTATCATATACTTCAGCATGAATAGCACGACAACTTCGATTAATGACACAAACACTATTAGTAAATGTTAATAATATCATTAAGTGAAAGACAATCAATAATACTAAAAATAAAACATAATGAAGACAAACATATTGTAGAAGATAAAGGGTAAAGCTAGTTTTGGATATTTTATTTTTTTTTAATTTTTATTTTACATAAAACTTAATTAACATTTATCTTTTTTTAATCGTTTTCAAATTTCAACCTTCACTTATTGAAAAACTAATATACATGAAGAGCAATCAAAAAAAATTGTTTGCTTCATTCCAATCTAAATAAATCTAAGACTGTAATTGAATTAATAATCTTTTTACGACTAAGGTAGATCTGAATTTTATCAACAGCAAAATTGAATAGGATTTTGCAATTATGTAAACTCAAATAATGTTATATAACGAGATGTCTAAGAAAATTTTTGAGAAAGATGAAAGTATATGATCTCAGTAGATGAGAAAATTTTGATAGATACCAACTTTTTACGTTACTTTTGTTTAAAAAATCTATTGTCCTAAAATTACCATACAGATTCGTATACATCAGAACAATATTTGGGTTCAAATCAAACAAGAAGACTTTGTAGATTACTATCGACATACAATTAGATAGCCAAAACAATCAAGATTTAGATTCGAAAACAAAACTGATCAATACAAATGTTAATTAAGTTTTATATAAAAAGAATAAATAAATTAGATTTTAAAACTAGCTTTATTATCATTCTTCTGGTAGTTATTTGTTTAATAAATAAAGTAAGTACTAAGAAATCACATAATCACAATTCCAAAATTGGATTCACTACATTTTATTCTATAAATTTACCGTAGTTCATCTTCATAGTTTGTAAATGAAATTCGTTTTTTTTTGTCTCTTAATAAAGTAATAATAGTTATTGAACCAAAGACTAACTGTTAATTCTAAAAATAAAAACTATATAGACTTTGATTGAATATTACAAGAACAAATTAATGCCGGATTTTTTTTATAGTGTTAACCAGCATTTTGTGAATAACTTTTGATCACTTCAAGCTATCGAGCTGTGGTTTTCACCGTTCGATAGAGCAAGCTGGGGGACATCTATCCGCATAAGATTCATTGGAGTCATGACTTTTTTTCATAGTACTCTCTTGGNAAAAAATCCGGAGGAAAAAATCCGGAAAAAAAATAATCTGGAAAATATAAATCCGGAGGAAAAAAATCCGGAAAAATTCTGTGAAAAGATTCAACAGTTTATTTAACAAAGAAGCATGTACAATAAAGAAGAGAAATCATTTGATATGAAGAGAAGTGATGTAGTTCACTTTTTACTGTCCACCAATAAAGAGAGCCCCTCGAGATGTTCGGCACGGTCGATCGCATCGTCCTCAAAACGTTTGGCAAGAGTGTTAATTTTAGCTTGTAAAGCCAAAGTCTTCTTCGTCTTCATTTTTTGCGCACCCGTTGACACTTTAAGCAATTGTTGCCGAAAATACACTTCTTCGTTTTGCAGGCAAGTGACGAAGGTCCCCATGTTCGAGTGACAGCTGTTCATTCGTTTGTTGAAACGATTATTCCCTCCTAATCGAATTCAGAGAGGATGGTACCCGACAGACGATGGTCATGATTGACGAAGAGAATAGGAAAGAGTTATGAAAGACTACTATCTTTTCTTGTTCGTTATAAAGACGTGGGAGATTTTTCCGGATTTTTTCTTTTCCGGATTTTTGATTTTCCGGATTTTTGGTTTTCCGGATTTTTGATTTTCCCGATTTTTGGTTTTCCGGATTTTTGGTTTTCCGGATTTTTGATTTTCCCGATTTTTGGTTTCCGAATTTTTTGTCTTCCGGATTTTTTGTCTTCCGGATTACAAGACATATTCTATCTTGTGAGAGACGATTCATGTAATGATATGTCAAATGACTTACTAGAAAAGCTGATGATAAGCAGTAGACTGTACCTATTACACCGGAAACGACTAACCACATGGGTACTTCAGGAGAAGCTGGACAGTCGGAATATTTCACCGCACCGCCGATAAAAGCAACCAAATGAATGCATGATGAAAGCAGAAAAATGATTGCAATACTCGTAGAACATTTATGAGTGATGTAAAGATTGTGTAGCCATCCGATAAGCGAGGAACGCCTTTCATTATTACCAATGAATTCTTGCTGAGACTGAACAACGGTGGGGATTATGCTAGGTAACTGATTTGTAACATCTTGATAGGATGGTAATAAGTCACTTGCCGAAGGAGCCGACGGAAGCGTCACGACTAAGTAATATGGAGGTGGACTGTCGTTCTATGTTAGTGCACAAATTCATGCTATTAAATACGTGATAACTATGCAATTTCGCCTACTTGTAAGTTCTGCATTTACAATTACAATTTAGATGAATTAAAGCCGTCAAGAATAAAAATGAGAACAGAATCGTTCTTTTCGTTCTATTAATAAACTTCTATGAGTTATATAGTCTCGAAGCGAAAGATCGAACGATAAATTAAATAACGGTTTTTTCCGTGCAGATCGACTATTTTTAGTTTTTCTTTTTTCTTCCGTACAATCATCTCTGATGAAATTACAGAAATGAGTTGTTAGATATTGACATCAGTTTCTTTTGACGATGAATAATAAATAAAACATTTTCCTTTTCAATCGATACGCACTAAGTAAACTTGCAACGTTGGACAAATCAACTGTTGCATGGAATACTTTTCGAAAGAAAAAAAACAATCGAGGAATAAAATGTGGGTGTGTAATTGCATGCAACGACTACTGATGACTACGCCAGAATAAAAGAAGGAATGAAATAAGCCCACTATGAGTGTCGGCATGTACGTGTATTCTATTTTATTTAACACCCAGACACTGCGTGCTGATTAAAGTTTAGCTGGATTCTTGAAGGTGTGCGTGTACGTGAGTGTTGAAGAAAAAGCGGACCAACCTCAAAACCTTCTGGGCATGGGTGAGTGTAACTGTGATTGTGGGGGTATGACAGCTGGTTTCCTGTCAACTTACATCCACACACTTCCGTACCTCACAATGGCGCTTACATTATTTTTCTCTTTCTTTTCTTTTAAATGCATTACTTTTTTTTTGTTTATGCATGTTTATTGCAACACTCTGGAGTGCTTACATGAGGAGGAAAAAAGAAGGAAAGACAATCAGAGGGGGGAAAAGGGAGGCAAGAGATACAATAAAAAATGGCAAGAAAAAGAAAAAAAGGGGAAAGGGAGAAAATGAAGAAGTAGAGCTAACCGTGATTCATGTTGTCATAGCTGAGGAATCCTTCAAATGTACTCTTTCAATTCCATCCTATCATAAACATTGCAACAATTGGAGAAGAGAAAATCCTTGAGGCTGTTAGTGAGACGTAAAGTTGATCCATTCTATTAAGAGTGTGTCGTGCTTTTTAATTAACTGCTTCACTCTGTTCAGTCTAAAGAATTGGCCTAATGAATCTTTGTTTGTCTTTTTTAACTGGTCCCAATAGAAGATATCTTCAAGGAAGGGCGATCGCTCTTAATCCGATTTGTATATGTTTTGTAGTCTTTTCTTTATATACCTTTGAGCATAAAACTGAAGGGGTTTATCTTTGGTTAATAAAAATAAATCATCTGTCGTGACATATGGGCATCTGTGTACTATTCTAATACCGACTCTAAATTTCCTGTCTAAGGCTTCTCGTTGTCTCTTCGGAAGGAAGGGATAGAAAGGGAAAACCCATGCTAAGTGAGGGGATATATAAGCGAACCGGCATTGCCTTAGAACATGCGTAGAAATTTCTCTACCTTTTTTTCAACTACTTCAACTTAACAAGCGCTTTTTCCGCTTTCTCGAGACAGTAATCCGTTGTGACCTTAAGCGACAGTTTGCTAGTCCAGGTGAAGCCTCAAGTATTTAAATTCTTTCACTATCTCTAACTTCTAACTCTACATGTACACATTTATTTTTGGTTTTTCTACTTGGGCATAGAACACTTGTCCGACCGTCTTCTGTATGTTGATCGGCTGTTTCCATTTGTTGGCATATTTTGCTATTCTATTACAAACTTTCGAACCTTCTTTTTCGATAAATTCTGTCGCTGCCGCCAGACTTTTTGTGATGAGAGCCTTAATAAGAATACTTAAGTCGTCCGCGTAAATGTGTCCAGAGTGCGCACCAGCACAATGAATTAAATCATTGTGATAAATGATAAACAAGTAAGGACGTAGGCTGCTTCCTTGTAGTGATCCAATATCGATATGGAATCTATCTGATCTTTCTTCTCCAAAGACGATATATGCCTGACGATACTTTAGCCATGACCAGATCAATCTCAGCAAAACTGGTGGCATACCTAGTCGATTTAACTTTACCATTAGTCCATCATGCCATACGGTGTCATAATCCTTTCTAAAGTCAACATACAAGGCGAATGTGGGCATATTTGCCGCAAGGCTATTTTCTATTTCTTGATACATTGCGAGAACTCTGGTATTTAAGAGACCCCCGGTCTGAAACCTGATTCTTCGTTCGGGACTAGCTGGGATCCTTCTGCCCAAATCCTGACTCTTTCAAGAGCTATTTTTTCAAACAGTTTCGAATGAGTAGGCAGAAGGGATATCGGCCGCGCCTGGTCGGTTCTTGAGGGCATGGTAAATTCCGCTTTTCAGGAAATTCAAATTTGAAAGCACTTCAATTGAAGCAAAATTTCAAGGACCACTCTTAATGGATTGGGTTGGGTTGGGTTGAGTTGAGTGGTGTCACAGATCCTAAAAGTCATGGATCTTAGAGATCTCCATGGAGATCTCCAATATAGTGACAATACTTGAATAAAATACTGATTTCTTAAAACCTAATGGTATTTTGCTTCTAATCCTACACCCTTCAGGATATCTCGAATCACTTCTCTGTAACGTAGCCCACATCTCCCGAGAAGCCGCACCTTTTAAAGCAATACCGGATCTTTAATCAGACCTCTGTTAGAGGCGTCACATTTTCAAAAGATCGTTCTTCAAATGATAGATTTTTTTGCATAATTTTGAACTTAGGGATGGTGTTGGTGTTACATCTCCTTG